CAAAGTTCAACAATACACACATTCATTCATACATAAAAACGAAAAAAATTACAGTACACACAAAACGAGTACTTCTTCTGTTAGGCGAATTGAACACATGAAAAACACGACTTCCCGTCAAGATGTCCTGATAGTATCCACGAGCTTCATTCATTTCCAAGCTTCTCCCCGAGAAGACTGTGACTTTAACTTGGTAGTTACAGTTATGCCCTCATCTCCCTCGTCAACTGGTCTGAGAGTATTTTTCCACAATCCTTCCTTGTCAGCAATTGAATAATCGTCTGTACCTCCTTTAGCATCGGCTATAATTTTCTCGATCGAACTTAGAAAACCACAAGATTCATTGTCGGTTCTAATTGATTGGTCAATGTGAACTGATCCTGATTCTGAAGTGCATTGCTCGTGATGATCTTCGTTTGTTTGGTCCAACTGTGCCGTGGGACCCACTCCGCCTAGCGAATCTTCTCTCTCTCTCAAGGTCTTGGTGACGAGAGTCTTGAGAAAATTCATCACTTGGACCGCGTACATCAGTGCCGTAAGAGGATCCGACATCTGGCACCGAGCAAGATAAAACATTAATATTTCACATCAATAGAAAATAATTATAAGGTACATTATATTCGATTTAAAAAGAAGAGGTACTTTCAAATTTCTGATTTGGCTTTTGGTATGACGACCTTTTCTTTACCTGACGAAATATAAGGAAGCCACTCTTTTACTTCACCTTTGGTCGTAATACAAATCGTTTGTCATTGTTTTGTTCATCCAACTATTACGGTTGTGTTTGGTAAGCAAATAAGTTAGCTTATAACTAATTTGATTAGCTTATAAGCTTCATGTATTCAAATAAACTTGGTTTGGTACGACAAACTTTTTTAAAAAGTTCGAGCTTATCCCATAAGCTTCCTTGAATAACTTTTCAAATAAGTCCATTGAAATTTTTATTTCAGCTAGTTTATCAGCTCATTTTACCACACTTTTTATCATATAAGCTAGCTTTTCAGCCATAAGTCATAAGCTATCAGCTCAAAATTCACTTAAAAGCTATAAGCCAGCGGTTTACCAAACATAGCCTACAAACACACAAACACAGATAAAAGTGGCGGTTTTGCAAATTTCATTTCTAGTTTTCATTTTTTCAAAAAAGCATAAGCTTTTGCAAACAGTGTCATTACTAGAAGTTTGTGGACTTTAGCTAAAAAAAACAGCTTGTTTTTTAAGTGCTAACCTGAGTCATATTGGGGGCGAAAACCATGGCGATGTTTCGTGGGTTCATCTTGTTGAGGTGCTCGTGCTGCGCCACATCAGCCATTAGATTAACGGCCCAATCCAAAAGGGCTGCCTCAGTTGGCGGCAAAAGCCTCACGAGTCGAGTGCACTCATCTTCCGACTCAGTCTCCATCACTTGCTCGGCTGGCACGCAATCCAATACCCCTCTCGGTAATTCTCTAAACCACGCCTACAAAATAATATATAAAAAAAAAAGGTACTTCATTTATGTGTTCTGAAATTATTGCGAATGAATCATTATAGGAAAAAAAGGTACCTTGATTAGACCGGCTAGACAATGAACGTCAATGTCATCCGGAATCAACCCGTTATTTAGCTGTTCTCTTACATACTCTTCCTGCCCGTTTGCAGGATTAATCCTGAAGATTCCTTCAGACTGCAAATTTAGAGGCAAATAGTTTTTGTTTGTTAAATAAGATGGTAAACAAAAAACGAGGTAAAGAAAAGGGAATAGATTAATTATTTGTGTTATTATTACCTCTAGGCCGCCTTGCAAATATAAACGTCTTTGCATCATGAGTAGTATAGTGGGCACACAGTTACCTCTGGAGTCGAAAGACAACTGCATCGACTCGGTCGAAACTCCAAATACTCTCGTGCTACACATGACGAAATATTGAATTTAATACGTGAATTAATGTGAAATTAGCCATTTCTTGTTTTAAAATAAGCCAACCCAATTACATAAGACGTTTATAGCGCCTTTGCTCTGCTAATCACAGGTCAGGATGAAAAAAAAAAAAAGGAGGTTATTTCCTAACATACACTCATCTTGCGTTTCCTATAAACAGAGTCGCTGATCGTACCACAAGAACATGAAACTAGATACTGTAATTTCATTCCGAAGTGAAAATTATTTATAAATGTGCATCAATTAAATTTTATTTTTATGATTATTTTCATGTTTTGCTTTCCATAATTCTAAATAGAGTCTCAAAACTACAACCAGTTGATCCATTACCAGTTACTCTTTTTCCTTTTCAACTGAAGGGCCTCAAACATGAAAATCCACATCAATCCAAATAAGGTATTTATGGAGGTGTAAACGAGTCAGAGCCGAACTCAAGCTTCTGATACTTGAACCCGAGACTTTAAAGATCCGACCTGAGCTCAACTTACTAAAGAAGCCGATAAATGGTGTGAGTTCAGCTCATTTATCAATATTAACGAGCTGGAACTCGCCTTAATGAGCCGAACTAAGATAGAAATTCAAAAAACTCACGTAAAAATCCTTATTCTCGAGCCTTAACGAGCTCGTTTATCAGTGATTCAACTGNAAAAAAAAAAAAAAAAAAAAAACAACTTTTAACCCGCCTTAAAGTAACCATAGCCAATGCCCATAAACAGTATCAAGCTGATTAATGGCTCCTATTAATAAGCCGGGCCAAAGGCACTAACTATTTAAACTGTTAGGCAGAAGGAGCATCTAACTGAACCATATTTCTGATGCAGTAAACAGAATTTGATACACTATATTAAGAACACAATGCTTCACATAACCCAAAACCTTCCACTGCTCTCACGCCATTAATCATGTTCTTGGGCTGGCCTAACAGTTAGTAGTCATAATTTTTTCACAAATACACCCACTTTCCAACTGAAAGGTCGAAACTCTAAAAAACAACATAAACAAAAGACATTTCGTAGCATTAACATGATTTTTGTTGAAAAAGGTGAGACAGGTCGACCGTCTAACCGTTAGGTCATCTCACAGACGAATTTGTGTTCTCCTAAAATTACAGAGTACCCATAATGTTTATGTATGAAAAGGAAAAAAAAAAAAGACTGACCTTGCACTAGGAGGCCTCCTGGGAACTTCGGGCTCGAACTCAACAGGCAGCCCGAGAAAACCATTAAACCTGTCGAAGGTTACATGGGCCACGTGCCTCACATTAGAAGGCGACCCAATTTCCATTCTCCGACCGTCGGCCCCAATTGCGGCGGCCCTTTTGCACCCCACAAAGGATCTCCTGAAAATGGCCACCAAAAGCTCCAAGACAGAAATTTGATCCACTTCGAACAACTTTCCTATATTCGGGCTCGAAAATTTTCTGAAGCAATAAAAATCGGAGGCAGCGCTAACGAAAGGCTCGCTGTCTGCAGCTGCAGCAGGTGTTATACACATGTTGGGGCTTGAGGGCGAAGGTGGGGAACACGTATTATTCCCTTTCATTTTTTTTATTATTTATTTATTTATTTAATTGAATATTTTTAATCCACCCACACTTTAATTAAAATGGTGAATGCGTGTTGTGTGTGTTTCAAGACTGGATTTTTATTTGGGTGGTTTTGTTGGGAAAGGGGGTTTGGTGTGAGGTGGGGCCTTTTTGGGTTCTTTTTTTGGTATTCTAGTCTGCCGTGGAATGTTTTCGATGATGATGGATTTGGTGAAAGATCTATTCTTTGTGTGATAAGATTAAAATTAAGATTAAGATTAAGATTAATGGTTTAGTTTGGTGGATTCATTATAATTGTTTTTTTAATAAAAAGGTATTGTTTATGTACTTACGAAATGTAATACTTTTACTTATGTTGTTTTTCAAATTATGTCATATCAATTTGAAAATATTTATGTTTGTTAGTTCTGTCGATCTATCAAACTTTTTGTGTCAGTCACTAAATAATAATCAAGTGGGCTAGTCATATTTTTTTTAATAAAAATATATATTTATACTATTTACAAAATATCATAGTTTTGTTTGTGTTGTTTTTAAAAACATGACATTTCAATTGGAATGTATGTATAGGATAGTCTAAAAGCATCATTAGTGTTGGTGAAATTAATTTAGTGATTTAATTAATTGTGATTGCTTATGGGGAGAGACAAGTGAGAGGTTTCTTTATCTTTGGAGGGATTATAATTTGCGAATATGCCAAGGAACTTTTTTTGTTGTTGAGTAGAGTTTGATTCAAGTAAAGATTTTGAGAATATGGTGAGACTTGTACGTCATTCTTAGTGGTCTATACTACCTTTCTCAAGCTTTTACTTCACATGCGTTGACCGCTATGACAATATTGAGCCAGTAAATATTTTGTGCACGTGCACAGATGTACATAAAATTTTATAAGTAATATTTGAGAATTTAATATTAAAATTTTAGATAGTGAATATATTACAATTTTAAAATTTAATCATTAGGAAAAATAAATTAATGATTGTTTATTATTATGAATAATTGTTTATTATCATTAGATAATAGCAGTTTGATTATTATTATTATTATTATTATTATTATTATTATTATTATTATTGCAAAAATAATTGTTTATAAGATTCTAAAGTTGTTTGACTATGCTATTAAAACAATTTACTAATTGTTTTTAAAGAGATTTTTTCATGAGATACAAAGGAAAAAGATAATATTGATGTTAAAATAAATAACTCAAAATAATTGTTTATAATTATGCGATATATAGATTGTTAATTCCAATATCATGCATTATGGTAAATATACGTGTTACACAAAAGAACTTAATCTTTCTATATGAGTATTTTTTGAAAAATTATGTTTTACAAAACTGGGTTTATTTGAGGTATATATATATATATATATAGAGGAGCAACAAAGTATTTAATTTTATTACCATGCACTAAATTTTATTCTCATACATTAAATTTTATTCTCCCTCCAAAATTTTCAGCATACAATTTCAATTTAAGTTACAAAATAACTTGCATGAATGCCATAAATTATGAGTATAAACCAATCAAGGGAGTTACAAAATTGTACACAAATTTTAAGTCACCCTTACTCATGAAAATGGCCGGGTGTATTAGCATAAAGAAAATGGTTGTAACGGCTCTTCCATAGCAGCAATTACTTGATCAAAATCAATTTTGAGAATAATTCATATTTTTTTTCATGAATTAAATTATGATTTTTTTTTTATATTTTTATCTTAGGTAAATAATTATTTGCAACATGTACTAATCGCGTTTTCGGATTTTGCAACCAAAAGAATATTTTGTACTAAATTGCAACCTTTAATACACGGGTTTGTCTGTATCACAACCTCCGTCCAACGGCGGCTCGTTTTCCAAGCTTGCCTTTGGCGTCGGTGGTCCTTGTGGTGCCAATTTCGCTCTCTCCGGAAATTGGTTTGGGTTCGCCATATCCGACCATTTCGATCCTGAGGGGAGATCTTGGGTCGCGGTGCTTTGGGTCAGGGTCGGGTGCGGCCTCGGAGGTCCATCTTCTCAGGTTGGATGTCTTGGGTTTCTCAGGCGGTCCTCTCCCTCTCCCCGATTTCGACTTTGACGGCGTGCTTTCCGGTCGCTGTGAAGTGCAGGAGCCGTCGGACTGCTTTGATCTTTTTCGCCGGCGGATTGGTGTGTGAAGGCGGTGAGCTTTTGGTCGACGATTAGTCGGTTGCCGGTCTCGACTGAGGGTAAGTTTCCTTTTAGCCGCTCTTGTCTCGATTTTCTTTGCCTGCATCCGGCGGTGTTCGGTGGTTAGAAGGTTGGGCTCTTGATTGGCTCAGTTTCCTTTGGCTTTCGAGATGATGGGTCTGAGGCTGCGGTATTGAGACTGCTCCTTTCCTCTGGATCCCTGTGTTGGGGTTTTGGGGTTCTCGGTTCTTCTGAGCTGCTAGTGGTGTTAGGGGCTTGGTGGGATGTGTTGGGAGTTTCTTGGTATTTCTGGCTTGGGGGAGAATTGGTTTTTGGGGGGACTCGTGGCTTGAGTTGTGATTCAGCTAGGCTTAATTGCAGTGGAGGGGTCGTTTATCTCAAGCGGTGGGTGTCCCTAGGTTGATTTGGTGGCTGCTAGTCTGGTTAGGAGTTGCTGTAGAGGGAGGACTTGTGTTTATGTGTTTTTAGTTGTTTTTTTGTTGGTTTTTTCTGTTTGTGTTGGTGTTTTTTAATTGTGTTTGTGTTTTAGGTTTGGGCCGTTGGCCTCTGTGCGCCCGGGTGTCAAATTTATTACTCTGTGGGGGTCCGACACTCGGATATTACTCTGTTGGGGTCTTGTTTAGTTTTGTTGGTGTAGTTGGTTTAGTGTGGTTGTGTGTTTTGTTGTTTTCGTGTGTGTTGCCCGAGTACTACCCCGTTGGGGTCGGCTCTAGGCGATCTCTGGATCTGCCTCCCAGTTTTCTAGTCTCTGGTTGTACTATTCAGCCTTTGGCTGTTTTTCTTCGCACTTTGTGCGGGTTTTATTAATATAGTACCTCTATCGTTTTAAAAGAATGAGGATTGACAAGGCATTGTATGTAATGATAGATTGTTGCATAATATAGAAATATCAAGCATAATTAATAATCAACAAAAAAAAGTCAAATTTATATAAAAAAAATCAAAATTAAAAACACAGCAAATTATGTGGAACATTATTGGACACTATACATATAGAAAGAAAAATAATTTGATTTCCCTATCATTATCAACACATTCAACTTTTACCAAGATATCTGCTTTATATTAAAATCGATTTTTTGCGTAAAAATTTTAAAAATAAAAATTCCTACAGATTCTTTTAAACATTAAACAACAATTTCCTAATATACGATAAATATATCTAAACAGATTTGTTATAAACTCACCTAATATTTTCAAATTTTGAACAAAATACTAAAAACTTTGAAAAACTTCGGCAAATACTTTGAACAACTTCGAAAAGCAATTTTGAACAAGTGTTAGCAAAGCTTCAATTACTGATATGATGAGAAAGACGAGAAAAAATTGAACTATTTAGTGTTCAAAATCTGAACAAAATACATAAAAGTTACGTATGTATGTTATAAACAGATATGAACAGATATGTTATAAACTTACCTATATATTTGTTAGTAGAGCTGAACAGATATGTTAGAAACTTACCTATTTTTTTCAAACCCTGAATAAAGTACATGCGAGTTTGATAAAGTTCGACCAATGTCATGTTCTCTTCGAAAAAAGATTTCGAAAAACATCTAAATAATTTCGAATTATGTATAAAATATGATATATCTTTGAAGCTTATTCACAATAAATTTCAAAAAACGACATAGATCATTGAAAATAATAAAAAATAAAAATTACGATTAACAAAAAATATTTCAGCTCTTCATAGATTTGTAATATTATCGTCCGATTTTGACCGACCTGTTAAGATTTAGCAACACAGATTAAGAAATCGGGACGAATATTTATTTTTCGATCACTACTGTTGGCCACAAAAACAACATTTCTCGGATGTTTTTTTTTTTAATTTTTTAAGCCTTTACCGGGAGAAAATCACCGGAAAAACAGTTGTTTTGCATTGAATCTCGTCGAGTTTGTCGTAAGATTGGGTTAAGGATTAGGGTTTCAGACAGAGTGAATAACGAGAGAAGTGTCGACATCAAACAAAAAAAAATGGCTTACATCACTCTCGAGGAGTTTATCTCTATTTATAGTCATGTTATCATTAACTTGTTTTTATATTTGATTTTGGCTACCCTAAAAAATTAAATAGACTTCTAATTTGGACATTTTTTTTTTCATTCAATCAATATATTTATTTATGGCCCAAAAATTGCCATTTTGTTCAAATGTCTTAAATATTTGGCACATATCATTATTTATCAACCAAATACAATTATTTATTTTGTAATATTTTGCTGGTATTTTTTTAGTATTTTTTTTTTAAAAAAAATTCCTATATGATCTATAGTACAAAATACAATAATTATTTAAACAAAGAAAACCATTATATGTCTTAATTTGAAGATAGTGATTTGTAGTGATGGAAATTCTATTGATAGAAAAATCACAAACGTTGTATATAAAAAATTGTTTAACAATATTTAGTTATTCTTTCTTAGAACATTTTTTCAATGACTATATTATGATTTTTACTATTGTTTATATCTTTTTATTATTTTTTGTTTTATTATATTGCTTTCTGTACAAATGCACAGGTTAAAAACTAGTAATTCTTAGGACTTCTAAAACAAGACTGACATAAAATCCCTTTGTATTAGGCAAGATTGAAGGCATAATTAGCTCAACTTGCCAAGATAATTCAATAACGATTCTTCATAAAAAAGTGAAAGTGTATGTAGTTTTGATATATAAATTTTTTGAAAAATATAATTATTTTTCAATGGTTAAAAGTAACTAATTTTGGAAAACTACTTATCCATAGCTAATTATTATACTAACTATATACAATTTTAGTTTTCGTTCTAAAAATAAAAAAAAATGTTAAACTTAATCATAATTTTAAAAGTATTTTCTAGAATTGCACTGTACAAAAATGTCCGTTTCACTAATTAAGCATGAATTTGGTTTCTCTTTTCTAACAAGCGATTGGTTAGTGCACGGGCGACCTAATTCAATGCAAACTTCCTTTTGAAGAAAATAATGATACAAATTTACGCATGCCAAATTATGACTAATATGTCCATCTGAACAATAGGAATTAATATGATCTTTTGTCTAAAAAATGC